GCCTCATGTATGTATAAAGTCAAGGGCCAGGGATCTATGAAAACAGCACATGGGTGAAGGGAGATAAGCCCTCCCCTGCTTTACTGATTCACCTGCACACCACACCCGCCCCCCCCGCTCCTGCTCCTCAGCTTGACACTTTCAGGCTTGGGGCAACTGGTAGGGATAAGTAAGAAAAATAAGATAAGGGTGGTGTGGACTACTTCTCTCACCTGCATGCTTCTTTTCACCCAATAATTTCTGTCCACTCCCACCCTCCTATTTATCAATGAGTGGAGTATTAAATCAAGTGTCATATCAACTCTTCCCTTTATCCTCTTTCTTGTATGCAGTCTGCCATTTGCTGCCTTGGTAAAAAATAATTTCATTACAAAGATGGTGTGATTTTTGCACTGGCTGCTATGGGGTTTCAGTTTCTGGGTGGAGTTGCACTATATCATGTATAGTTAGTTATGAGTCATTCCCTGGGCAATGCCGGACAGCATCAGCCACACTCTCATAAGTCTGATTTGAGCCAATCTATAGCCCAGGAAGGAGATGACCATCTAATGAGAAGTCTGCTGGACACTTCAACCACACTGAAGCTCATTTACCTGTGGAGCTGGCACAGCCTTACCCTTTAAGCCAAGAGGAGTAGAAATCAGGGCAGTGCTGGGTTCTGCATGCACTATTGGCATTAAATGAATATTTAACAATAACGACAATAATAAAAGCAGTGTGGCTAGAAGCAAAGGTCTGTTACACCTCACGGGACCTGCAGCTGTTCCTATGGGCAACAGCCAGAAGCCACAGCTGAGAGAGGGGGAACTGGCAGCCACTGTGCTTCTCTCCTTCATCTCTTGCTCTTGCTCAATTCTGTCTGTCTTTTTCTTCCCCTCTTTTGTCCTCCTCCATCTGCCTGAATCCAGAGTTCAGAAAAGTCACTGGTTACTGTGGTAACATCTGCCCTCCCCTTGCCTTCCCCCAGTAATACTGTAGCCTAGCCAATGGAGCAGGGAATATTTCCCCCCTCTGTACACAAAACACACATGCACACATTAAAGGGCTCTTGGCAAAGCTTAAAGCCCACCTGGCAGAGCCTTGGTTGAAAAATACCTCAATGTCTCTCAACCATCTTATGTATGATGGGTCAGAGCAACTTTTTCCCATCACCCTAATAAGAATTTGAGGGAAAAAGAAGCACAAGAGCCATAAAGAAAGTAATAGGAATACACTAAAAGATAGAGCGGGGGGGGGGAGAGCGAGAGAAAGAGAGAGGAAGAAAAATAATTTAAAAAATGAAAGGCGAAACAGAAAAGAAGGCGAAAGCAAGAAGTAGGAAAACTGCTGGCGGAAGTGCCCCTGCTAGTCCTGCGGCCGTGCTGGGCCCTGGTCCAGCCTCGCTCCGGACCATTGTTTCCCTGCCTGGCCCCCCAAGTCCAAGTTCATCTGGGTGTGACATCATGTCTGGTTGCTCAGGGAAACCAGACGGGCCAGACGTGACATTGGTTATGGGATGGGAAGGGGAGCAGATCTCATTCCTGTTCTGCTCTGGCTCCTTCATTCACCACCAGGGAGCAATGGAGACTAGGAAGGAAAGACAGATCGAGCTGAGAGCTGTCTTATGTGGGACAGGAGGAATGGGGAGAAATCACGTTGGACCAGGAATACTCCTTCTCCATGGTATACATCTTTCCTTTGTTGCTCTAACCTTCATACCATCATAATTTTTCCCTTCTGGTTGTGGCACTGGCATGATTAAGATTGCCCTAAATAATATGACAACCCAGTCTTTTGTTTCATTGTGCAACAAAACACAGTTATTACACAATCATTACAAGGTAATCCCTGCTGCACAGAAACTATAAATGTGCAGATCCTACCTCCCTGCCATGTCTTTTTATCCTCCACTGAGAGTGGCTGGTATGCTCTGCATACAGGAGTGCCAATGGTACTTAATGGCCACCACCCGTAATATCATTGGTGCTGAGCAACAGACTCCTTCCTCTCACCTATGCAACTTTGAAAAGGGGGGTCACCTTTTTTTCTTATGCTTTACATTCCCTGAGCAACTTAATCTTATAGCAGAGCTAGTGTAGCCTATTGAACATCAGAAGAACAAGCAGCACAGCTCTTCTTCATTCCTGGAAGCAATTTTCTGCTTTGTGAACTATTCTCCCCACTTCTATACGTTCTTCTTCTCCCACATGTCTCTCAGGTTATATTCTTTCCCTAGTACAAGTTCTAGGTATATACCATGTTGAGAAAACATAAAGCCTGTATTTCTAGTTGCAATGATTATACATGACAAAAACAATGCGCCACCAACTCAGTTTGCATTTTAAGCCACATATTAAAAAAACCCAAACCCTTCCTTTTCTTCCCTAAAGAGCCTTATGGGCACTGGTGGAGAGAAGCTCCCTGGCCAATCAGAAGTTGGCTTCAGGAATGGATTTCTGATCAAACTCTAACTAGGAAGTATGGAAACTGGCAATTGATCCTCCAATGCTCAGCACAGACATCATACTGAGTGGGACAGTATACCAGAGAGAAGTATAATTCAAAGAGCTACACAGTTACTTGGACTTGGAATTGTCCATACGTCATCCTTGTTTTACCTTAGAGCAATGTCCAGATTCATATCTGCATACACCACTAGATGGAGTTTAGAAAGGAACTTCTCTTAGAAACAATAAGGATGTGACTCAAAACTTCTCGGGTTGCTGATATCACAGAAAGGGCATGGTATCATGGCATCTCCACAACCAGATTTCTCCTTAGTTTGTTTTCAAATGATGCTACTGTTGGGATAACCTGTTACTATAGACTACTACTCCCATCTCCATTTCCATTTCACCTCCACAGGGACTGTCTTGTATGTATGCAGCTACTTTGCACAATAATTAAAAGAACCAGGTGGCTACTAGCCAACTGTCTCCAGCTTCCTATCCAATGACTTTATAATTCCAGTGGGAGGCACCTAGAAACCATCCAGATTATTTCCTTTTTGCCTCGGGAGAAAGAGCTGGATGGGTGGAACAGCAGCAACCGAGAAAAAACACCATAAGCCAAAGTGTATGATAGGGGCAGGAAGGCTTTACAGTTTGAAAGAAGGAGGCTTATTGAAGCAGGAGAATAATAATGGGGCAACCAGGACCAGTGCAGCACAGTGCCAGGGTAACTCAATTTTAATTTTTCATAGTGCAAAGGTTTTTTTCAAAAGTGTTTTTAATTTTTTTTTTTTTGGAAATAAACACACTATGGATTTATGTGAAGTGAGGCAAAGCCCACACTCTTTAGTCCTGGTGTATATGCATACTTTGACATAAAAAGTAGGTAGGAAGTTATGGGGAAAAAAATGAAACCCTAATGCAGGTAATCACTGAGTACATGGATTTGGAAACAGCATCTTTCAGGCACACAGATATATCACTTGAATGCCTAGGAAGCATTGGGATGTTATTACTAAACAAAGTTTAGCATAATGAGAACAAGTTGCATGAATGTCAGTTTCATTCTCTCCTTGAAATAAACTGCATTTTTCACTTTCTGCTTAGGTTAACCATAACTTGTTAATTATCTGAACTTGAAAACCTGCAGCTAACCTTAACTACTGCTTGCTTAAAACAAACCAAATTTATATCACAAATCATGGATACTTCTTTTAACAAATAATAATTAATATTAACTATAATTAAGGTTAACATGCCAAATGATGATGAAATTTAATCAGATGTGAATGCTTCCAAATGCTTTCTTGTGACTACACCAGAGGAAAAGTGAGGAGCTGGAGAGATCACGTTCTGCAGTGGCCCACTCTCAACAAGCTAAACTATGGTTTTGTATTATATGTGCGGTCATGCTAGGTGATTATCTACTCTTCCCAAAACATATCCAGACTGGAAAAATTGTGGATAACTATGATTGATAATTATGATTAGTGCATACATACAGTCTTTCTATTACTCAGTTTGTATATACAGAGTGAAATACACATCATGATCTACATTTTTTTTAATGAAGTGTTTGCCATGTGGATGTAGAACAAACATTCTGCATCAATTTGAAAGCAGCAGCTTCAGATCTCTGTGTTCCTACAATAGGCACAGGAAAGCTGAACTTATTTGTTTCCTGATTCTGTAAAAGAAAAATTAACTTCAGGGCTTTGAAGCTTCCCCCAGATAGCTGGGGGGAAATTGACCAGTATTTCGTCAATTTCTCCCTTCTATCTGGCAGAGAAGGAACAGGTGCAAAGCACTGGGCCACTGGGTGCTTAGTGCCCTTTCTTTGTGAAGTGCCAAGTGGAGGTGAGGAGATTTTTGTTGCTGCAGGACCTGAAGAGCTTGATGTACACTTCTTCTTGTCAGCATATCAAATTGGTATTTAAAAAAAAAAAAAAACAATCACAGGTGGCTTCTAAACTTCTAAAAAACTCAGGGTTGAGGCATGAAAACAATAGCAGCATGGAAGTCCCTGTGGAGTAGATTTGAGCCATACTTCATCTTATTCCATGGTGAGAACAAATGAACAGTAAAGACATCATATCTTCAGAGACAGTGGCCTGCCCAAAGGCACCCAATGAATGTAGTTGAGCAGATTGGTGAGGTGTTCCCCATCCCCCAGTCTTGTCACCGAAATACATTCCAACTTGGGAATCTTTTCAAATTCCATCTTAGACTCAGACTCATAAGCCGAAGACCCTCTCTGAAACTCAGTTTCTTGTCTGAGAAATGAAGGCCATAGTTTCTGAAACATGATTGTCTTTAGATAATCCCCCAAAGAGTTCTGGTGTAAGTTCTGGACTTGATGGCATACCCCAACAGTGTACACTTAGATCTCTAATGTTCAGTCCTATGTTTTATTCTGTCAACTGAACTCCCTCTTATCCACATAGTTAAACAAAATCTGAGGTGATCCACATCCATCCCTTCAACAGAACCAGTCCCCTCCCCTTCCCACATAATGCAAGCTACATTTGGGCTACTGTAACACATATACCCCTATGAAGCTGGTCCCCCTACCTGAGATTGCTGGGGGATGTTTAGAAAGTTGCCGTCCCGGGGTCCGATGCCGACAAACCGGTTGGCAGAGGAGGAGGAGCCTGGCGCTGAGAATGCTAGAGGGGAAAGAGATGTGAGGCCGTTAGGGCCACTAGGTGAGGCTGATGGCATTGATGGAAAAGGATGGGCATGCAGGCCCGTCAGATGAGACTCAAGAAAGCAAAATCCAAAGAAAAAAACTGGGCACAACCTTTTCCTCCCCAGAACACCCTCTTGTCAGTGAGCTCAAAAGAATGGAACAGCCAACTCTTAGTTGTCAGTGGGGCTTCCTTTGAATCATGGTAAATGCTTGCTGTTTGAAGGACAGTAATTTAAGGATACTGATGGAAAAAGCCAGCTTCACTACAGGAGTAATCTCAACTGTTGCATGGAGAGCAACTTGATGGAGACTTCAGTAAAGTCATACCCAGCATCCCCTGTGCCTTTATTGGGGTGCCTGGATTATCCTATTATACAAGTCTTACTGAGTGAGATGAATACTGGGGAGTATCTGGCCTTTGTTCCATAAACCTCATTTCTCTTAGGCATGTTCTTTCTTTTTGGGTATAGGCCCAAAGATTTCATCTTGTGGCCTAATTTTCTCTTCATCCCTGGAGGTGGCTGGGGGCTTCTGTTATAACTGCTATTAGCAGCCTCAGGCAGCCCTCCTACCCATTGGTGGGGTGGATGGCATTCCAGAACATGCCCATGTATGGGCCTGCCAGGAGATGGAGTCTCTAGGTCTGCATGCCTCCCCTGGGCATAGCACTGTGTGCCAGAAATAACTAAGCTTAGCTGTTTGGTATTTAGTTGGTGGCAGAAGAAGGCAGGGCTCTAGATGAAGCTGAGTAAGGGGCAGGGAATGGACATGGGAGATTCTCTCACCCCCAAGCTGATCTCCAGTTTGGAAACCTGTCTGGGGCCAAGATACTTAGAGATGTTGTAAACGTTCCTGGAGGTACTGCAAACCTCATAGTAATATACACACACTGGCATGCGTACACAAAAACAGCCAAGTGTGGCATTTCACTTTCACACTTAACCTTTTATCACAATATTGCTCGATGCCTAAAGCTGATTTCTCTGCTGCTCAACCTCATAGGACATTGATGGGAAGGCAGAAGCTCTTGTTTGGTGAGTTCAAGGCTTGGCTTGTGGAGGTGGTTTCAGGATTTGGCTGTAAGAAGCAAATGCTACTCTTTGCTGGTCTATAGAGGCAAGTTGCGTCACTTACTCTTTGGCTCTCAATGCAACACTGGGCTAGATTTCTGTTTGTTGACCTCCAGCTACCAAAAAGGATGAAGAGATGAGCTACATAATCAGTAGATTCACATAAGGGATCTGTTACTGGGCTATACTACTTCAGAAAGTGGATGGGGCGAATTTTACTGTTCCCGCTGTTAAAAAACACACTCTTAACAAAATGGGCTTATGTAAGAGAGATATTCTAGACCCTTTTCTATATAAAAGGAGCTTTATTTCTTTTTTCTTTTCTTTTTAAGAAGGGAGAGCATTCAGATATGCAATAAATTTGAGGTAAACAATCATTCTTATTTATCTTCATCACTAATACCAACACTTTACTGGCAATCTGATATGGCTCAGAGCAGCATTAATACTTTATACTGGTGCCTGCTGATCATGCATATCAGTTCTTAATGAGAGCTGGAGTTGGGTTTCAACCTTAGAAGCAGCTGCAGCACCCCATTTCCTTCTGAATCCTTTGTTAGCCATCTTGTGAGAGCAGGAAGATGGCAGTCAGCACATAACATAGCTCCAGAATTTCTTTTTATGCCTATAACTTGTCACCATCCCTTGCTTCTCATTCCCTGCCCCCCCCATATCCATATCACCAATTTAATGAAGAGTATGAACACTGTGAGAGTGAGTAATGCCATGAGCACAGATGTAGAAAAGAAAAGAAAAAGAAAGGAGGGAAGGAGAAAAAGCAAAAAAAGAAAATGGTACTGGTAGCCAATCCTTATCTCCAAAGGGACTCTCTGAAGCCAAGAAAGATGGTCATAATTACTTTACTGGAGAATCTAGAAGTTTTAACTTCCATCCCTTCTATAATCAATCTAGTAGGATTCCCATTTCAGGGATGGAGCCAGGCTTCATACTGCATAATGCCACTACTGTTCACCAGGAGACACCTGCCTTTCCAAAGGTGGGAACAGAAGTCCTGGGTTTCTGATCCACCCACTCCCAGTCAAATGTCTGGGTTCTATTTATCATCAACCACAGGGCCACTCTCTGGAAGTTCTGATTCCCAATGTCTCCTCTTTCCCCCTCCCTCCCTCCCATCAGATTACCCTTTCCTGAGAAAGCACAGACCACAATTCAGGGTGATGGGAGAAAGCTTGCTATGGATCTCAATGGGAATTGATTTTTGAAGCACCAGAACATCCATAAACACAACCCTTCCTCACATTACAAAAACCAAATGTCTATCAATAATGCTTCTCAGAATTATTTATTTATGGTTTATTTTTGTCCTTTAAAAAAAAAAAAATCCCCAAATTTACCAAGAAGCCACCATGGCAACCAACGATATAATGAAAAAATAAAAAAATAAAAAAATAAACGTGTTGGAGCTGGGCAGCTACTGCATCTTTAAACGTTGGGGAATGGGATGGAAGGTGTGAAGGGGTAATGGCAGCTAAGGAAAGGGATCAGATGGGGTGTTTAAACCTTTAAAATAAGCACAAAGCACAAGACTTGATGATGACAACATGGTGCCCCAAGCCCACCTTTTGAATCTGCCAGCTGCTTATAGCTTGCTTTTCCCTCTCATTTCCCATTTGTTTGTCTATATTCTATTAACCTTTTTTCCTTTCTTCTTCTTATTTGCGCCTCTTTTCTCCTGCATTTGTTACTATGCACATTCTTCTCTGTTTTTCTTTTCCTTGCCCATCTTTTAGTCTTTTTCCTCCTGCTCTCCTTATTATTTCGGCCTACTTGACACCTAGTGAGGGCCCTGGGGTGGGGAATGGAGACTAAGTTCCATTTTGCTTCGTGGTTTGGGTTACACTTGGGTCCACTTACAGGGTGACGTTGGTGTCGGCGCTCCGCCCTCTGGGTTAGTGCTGGTGGATTTTGTATCAGGCATTGGAAGGGGCACTGGTCTGGCCACAGGTGGAGGTGGCGGCAGCAAAAATGACCCCGTGACTTTGCCCTGGCCGCTACCGTTAGGCTGCGAACAACATAAATACAGTGATGCGTGAACGAGACAAGGCAACGTTAAAGATGCAGTATCTGCTGGCGGCTCTCGGGGCTGAGAAGGGGAGGGACTTTAATTTGATTTAAAATACCCTTTTTCTCCCCCTTCTTTCTTCTTAAAATCACACCTTGGTTTTATATTTTCCCCTTACCTCCCTCAAACATTTCCCATGTCCTCATTTTCTTTTCCTTTCAAGCATGTGTGTTCTGCTTTCTTGTTACAAGAGAGTCAGGCCTGAGTCATTATCAAGGGATTGCCTGTGTTCCCATACAGCAGGCAGGGCTGAACAATGACTTCTTCATTCAGACAACAAACCAACATCTTAGTGGAATTATTCATTATCTCTGAAAACTTCTTGTTAATGCCATAGAGACCACTACTGTGAGGTATGGACTGTATTATTCTGGTTAGATTGGCTGCATCCAAGTCATATCCCTCTTCCTAGTTTTTAGGTTCTCCAGATTTCAATGCCTAAGTGGATGGGCCTATAGGACAATATGTATGCACTGTCCACATATAGCCTGAGCTATATGTTCACCATTAATGATTTTATCCTTTTTTCTCAGCAAAATGCCTACCATGGATCTCCAAAAAAAGTATGAATCTAGTCCTTAGAAATCAACACAAGATTTTATAGTAGCCACCCAGATTTACTTGGATTCTGTATCATGTTGTTTCTTAGTACTTGAGCACAGAAAAAGAATTTTTTTTCCTAACCCTTTTAAAATATTACTACTATTGCTACTACTACTACCAAGACTTGAAAACAAACAAATGGAAGAAGTTGAGAGTGGAACCAATTGTTATTGGGGACACTATACCATGTGGACTTAGAAAGAATTTGGATTGCTGAAATTTGGAACAATTTATGACACCTTAACTACAAACAACAGCACTGATGGGCACCTCAGACAGAATTAGATACTATCTTTACAATTCCCAAGCCCTTGGGGAAGGCTCAACTCATGACAGAGAATACATTTGGCTATGACACATGATCAGTGGAATAACAACTTAAATCCAATTATATCACAGAGCTAATGAGTTTGGGTTAGTAGAAAATATCTAATCTTGATTATTCACAAGTCTCATGCTAGCAGCTCTGGGACAACTAATTTCTTGTATTGGTTCCTTCCTGCCATGTGCAGTCTACAAGAAGCAAAGGTTTTTCTATTTGGATTCTACTGCAAGCAAAATCCATGGAAAGGATATTGTGTTAATAATTAGAACTTTAAAGACATGTGCAAGAAATTGGGGCTTGTTCTGAAGTTGTGGCTTCTCTTGTGATTTTACCATCTCTTGAACAGAGGTGATAGCTCCCTTTGCCAAGAAGCCACAATTATAATGTGTTCCTATGCTTTTTCTGCAATCAATCAACTTGCTCCCCGGACTTCTTGCAGTTTGTAAGTCACTGCCTTCCCAGACTTGACTGAAGTCCTAAGAGGATTCAGAAGCACAAATACCTTCATTTTGGGTGGGAGTCCAATGCTCTGTGAACCAGGAACCAACACAGGATTCAATCATTACTTGAGTCTAAGAATGACAATAAGGTTCCATAAACCATCAATATCCAGTTCTGCTAACATCTCTACTCCTTGATCTCTGGAATTACTTTATTGTTGGAGCAGTGAGGGAGATTTAAACCAGGGTAATTATCCTGAGTGGTATGCTATGCTGGAGTAAACAACAAAGGATGGTAAGGAACCTTAAAGTGTTAATGAGCCTGCCTTTTTGTAGCCTCAGATGGGCATGGCTAGGGCTGAAGGCTCTTCTCTTCAGACTCAGTGCTAGCTCATTATCCTGGAATTGCCATTTTGGGTTCATTTATGAATTTCTTAAAGGAAATTCATCAATATTATTGTCAGACTTCACTGAAGTATTTTATATGTTGTCCTCCTGAGGTTTTTTAAGAACTGATTTGTAGCTTTTGGAGGGAGGAGCACTATAAAACACTTTTGCATCACCACCAAACTTTCCACTTTAGGCAGGAAAAGTACTGCTGAGGCTTTTCAGGGTGAGTGACTTTAAAAACGCTACTTGCTTGAAGGTTCAACTTATTTCATTGTAACCTGTTCAGTGAAACTGCAAGAAAAATTATGAATAAGAAATTTCAGATCCTCTGTGTGTGCATGTGTAAAAGTACTGGTTTCCCTGTCCCCTCCCCCCCCTTCTTCTCTTGGCTAGTGAAATAAACTGTTCCAGGATCCAGGAATTCAGTACATTCATATCCTGGACAGGAACAAAAAGCTAATTAAAATAAGGGCCAATTCATAACTGTTCCGTTAACTACCCTGATCAGGAAACAATGAGATAACAACAGCCATGAAAAGGAAACTTCTACAAGACATTTTGCAAATAGGACTTATTGGTGCATAAATATTTTAGAAAAGTCCTGGCCATGAAGAAGGAGATTACAGTAAAACAAAAACAGCAGCAAACAGTAACTTCCCATAGGATTTTACCACTTCAGACTTTCTTGCTCTCTGAAGAAATAGAGGTGACAGCTACCATTCCCAAGAAACCAGTTAACGAGTTCCTGTGTTTCTACTGTGATCCATCGACTTGCTCCCTGGACTTTTGCAATTTTGTTTTTATTCATTTATTACAGTAATTTGTATGCTGCCTACTTGTCAGGCTCAAGGTGGTTTACCATATTAAACGGTTTGTACACCACTGGCACTAAATTGCTTTAGGAACAGAAGCTACTGTGGTCTAATACTTTTATCCCAAGTGGGGGGAAAGGCGTTAAAGATAAATAATAGTTCTCTTTCAAGACTCTTGTCAGCCCATGGAGGCTGGAATAGGCTGATACATGAAAGGATTATTGGGGAGGTGTGCTTGTCTATGTCATCACAGCCTTGAACTATTATCTACCAGGTCATAGGGCTCTTTTAATAGTAGTGTTCAAACTGGGCCAAACATATTATCTAGAGCATATTAAAAGTAGCATTTTAGTACAATCCAATTTACTTAGGTAAGCTGGAATCAAAACTGATTATAAAAAACTACCCATGCCTCAACTTTTAATACTTAAGTTTATTATTTGATTTTTCCCCCTTCCCTCCTCCCCAAAATATAACTAAAGATCATGATCTTCAAAAGTCCAGCGTGTTGGAAAAGTTCTCATTTCCAGGTCCATAAGTTCCTCTCCCAATGTTGCAAAGCCTAACATCTTTGGATCCTGCCTTTCATGTCACCTTCACAAATGTCACAAAGATAAGCATTCTAGAATGTGCTCAGTGCAACCCTCTGGAATTCTCTCTTATTCAGGAGCTCTGAAGACTCAAAACCCTTCAGAACCGTATTTGATAAAAAGGTGTCAGACAGAAGAGGGGTTGAGAAATCAGATGATGGGGGAAAAAAAATCCTGTCTGGGCTATACCTGTCCATTCTGTAGAAGTCATGTCCCACTCAAGGTCAAACAAAAACCGAAGAGAAGGTTCTCTTTTGAATATGCTGCATTTCTCTCACCTATCCTTTTTTAAAATATCCTGGCTGCCCCCAGGATTGTTTTCCCCAGCCTCAATGTTGGGCCTTGCAATTCAGTCTTTTCCGAGGTAAAGGTAAGGTGCCAAGAGCAAGCCAGTGTCAGTCAGACTGTATTTCAAGGAAAGAAGGCCCATTCTGCCAGACTTACAGGACTAGATAATAGTGCTTTCTGTACTACACATTTCCCTATGTCTTCAGCAGGCAGGCAGGCAGGCAGGCAGGCAGGCAGGCAGGCAGGCAGGCAGGCAAACAGACAGTGTTTGGGAGGGAGACAGAG